GGGTATATTCTTGTTCCCTCCCTTCTAGTTCACTTCTTCCGTTGAGTCACATAACGTATTGATAAATAATAATTAAGTGAAATTGTTGTGGTGATTTTCCAGCTACATAATACTTTTTTAGCTACATAGCTACTTTTTTTAAGAAAAAATTTTTAGACACCTTACTTTCCATTACCGACTTCATCATTTCATTAGTTTATCTTGCGTGAGACCACGTGGAACAATTACAATTGTTGAATACTTAATGGTTGCTTTATTCATAATGGTCAGATACCTTGTAGGGGAAAACCCCACAAGCCGACGTAAATAAGTCGTCTGATCTCTCCAGCGGGAGAAAATCACTGCCACCTCCCTCCATGAAAACAAGCACTACACTTAATGAACTAATGACCGTCGCAGTTGAAGCGCACGGACACGCTAATCCATCATTTGAATCAGTATTCAGGTTTGGATCGAGTACTTCCAATATTTCTGGATCAACCGAAGAATGCAAATTCCAAGTACTATCACCACTCATCAGAGAAATGATTCTTAACATATGAAAGAATATATCACTAGACATCTCAGATATATTCCGTTTTTTCATAGCAGATTCAGTTTAAAACGAAATTCTCAGTCATCAAGATCGGGATAAACTCAGTTATTATCAATTTATAAAGTCCTTAGAAATTCCCAACTATGAGGAATACTTGCAGCTACCCCTTCCTTACATTCGTATGTTGGCCTGACTCAGATTGTCGGTTAGTATTATTATTAAATTTGGTTGAGACTCATTATGAATTGGAAAATCATCTCAATGCTACTTCTGTAACATATCACAGAAACGCTGAAACATATTGCGAGAAATTGTGTACTTCTGAACAGTTGAGATCGTATTATTTATCGAGTGTTGTAAGATACGATCTATACCCGGGTGTGCTTTGTAACTACGAGGTACAATACTAAAAATCTGTTGTGTTATCCGCATTTGATTCGAATGAGAGTTTTTTTTAAAAGAAATTTACAAGCCTAGTTACTTTATTGCATGTGAGATTTTTAATTTTTTTTTACTTGTATTTTACTTATGAATACTAAGGCGTTACTTTATTCTTTGACATGATTAAAGCAAACTTTTTAACTTAAAAATATATATATATATTACTATTTCATAAAATAGTAAATGTGCTATACAAAGTGTAAATATGGACAGAGTTGATTGGTGACTTTTCGACGCTAAATTATTTTTAAAGTGAATTCAACGTCATGTCACCGACATAGATACCAAAAAAAGTAGTGTAGTAATAGATACGATTTTTTACAGACTCTTCAGGATGTCGCAGGGTCCGTGCAAAGTTTGGTAAATATTAATACAACACAAATGCGCAAAATAAATAATTTAAATAATATGTCGGTAAATGCACCACAATCTTTATTTTTCGCCTATCACAAACAGCAGGTTGATTAATAATATATTCCGCCAAAATCCAGTAGCGATGCATAAGATCATGTAATACGATTCTATTTTTTTTTATTCTGGATTACAAAGGGGACTTGCTTGTGACAAGACGTAACTATAAACTGAGTGAAAATTTGCCAAATATAAACTTTCCAGAATGTTTCTTCATCGATATTTTACATCCATAGTAATACCATATTGTATGAACATTGCAGATCATACATTTTGAATGCCGCGGGTTTATTTTAACAAAATGGACAAAGTTATTTTTCAACCTCATAACGCCCTGGATGCCATGTTTGCAAGCGATACGATGTCATTTTCAATCGTGTATCCATCTGTATCTGCCCAAATGGAAGTTGTGTACACTACAGCGGGAGATGGCCGTTATATAATTCAGAAAACTGGTTTTTCAAATAATGCTGCTTTGCAACGCATTTAGTTTCCTCAGTTCTTTACCACAGTAGGCAGCGGGTCTGTTCGAGTGCCGTGCAGCACATTCATCATTCTCCAATGCAACAGAATGCGTGTGATCCTCAACCTACAACTTCGGGCACAAGTTTTACTTCGGACTCTGTCCGGAACATTGGGTTCTCAACGAAAGATTTACTTAAGAAAAAGAGCTGGTCATTTTTGTAATTATTTAAGAGGTAAAGACTAGCAACCAACAAGGAAAATTTTTCTAATTGCCAATTATCCATTTATAACATATTTTAAATATTAGCAGAACTTCAAGAATTAGACGGACTCATCCATCAAAATTGCATCTATTACAGAATCGTCATAATTTTTTCGAACTTTATTGCAGATTTGAAACAAATTGCTTGAAATAATATTTCTACGAAGATAATTAAAAATACAGTGAACATTTTATTCCAATCCATATATTTCCAAAATTTAAAAAAAAAAATTCTGGGCAATACTCAATCTTCTTCCTATAGAGATACTTCAAAAAAACAACTGATATTATTAAAAATTCCAATCAATTTTTCTAATGAAGAAATGTTTAACAAATTACGACTTAAATTTTCGGTTATAAAAGTATCATCTGGATACCAAAAAAATTGAAATATATTTAAAATAGAAAAATATTTTAGCGTAGTAAAAGTTCCAGCGAAATCTCAAAATCAATTACCCATTCGATGTAAAAGATGTTAGCGGTTCCATCATAGATAAGCTAATTGTCATTTAAACCCTTGTTGCTTTTGATGCACTAGGAACCATCATCAGTCAAATTGTTCTCTCCCCAAAACCACTTCTACAATTTGTGTAAATTGCAACGGGTAACATACCGCAAATTACAAAGGTTATTCTATCTCAAAAAAAAAATTAAAATCAAATCAAGTTTCTTCCTTGAATATACATAAGATAGATAAACATACTGAAATACTTGATACTAATCCCCTTCCTTTGCATCATCAAAATTGTTCATTATCACAATCGCCTAACTACAGAAATTGTTATTTGTCGCAATAAAATCAATACACCAACCGAGCAAATTTATTGTTAAACAACAACGACAAGAATGCTACTTCTTTTTCTTCATAATGTATCAAATAAGTTCGTTTATACAACATATCCAATCGTTTGCTTCAAAGTTTGTTCAACATTTTTCTCACGACTAATAATTTAAATATTTATTGTCTTAACTGGAATTACAATGAAATTAAAAGACAGAAAAATATCTTACTTTTTTATGTTCGAGCGAAATTAATGTAGCATGCATTGCCGAAACCCATTAATTTCTGGAGAGAAAATTTTGAATTTCTGGATTCAAAATTTAACGTACTAATCATCTTCTAATCGTTAAACCATTAAATGAATGTTTTAAAGTGTATTTGAAATTTCATATTAAATTTTGCAATTCAACGCAACAATCTCCTATTGTTGTAATGAGCCAGAAAACCCCACGCATCAATTTAAACATTAAATATGATTTTATTATACTTTAGTTTATACATACATAGGGAATAGAGTCAGCGCGGACCTGATGTTATGGTAGCGGACGTAAATAAACAAAGCAGCCGAGAATATAACACTGGCGGAGAGTTTCATATAGTCTTCTTGGGGGGGGGGGATAAAGGGGGTAAAAAAATCCCCTTGTAGAATAAAAAGCTATTTTCCGTGGAGGCGAAGTATATCCGGACGAGGAAGAGTCTGCCTGTCACGGGCAGCCGAGCTGAACACTTCATGTACGGTATGCTCCACATAGATATTAGACGGGACACGTAGTGGATTGGGTCATAGCAAATTAGCAAGGGCAGAACGTTGCCTTTAGAAGGAGAATGGAATGATTATTATTATTGATATTATTGTTGTTATTGTGGGAATAAGTGAAGGATAACTAAAATTATGTTAATGTCATACAGTTTTAAAGATCAAACTACAAACGGACACACATTAAACGAAATATAATTTAGATGAGTGGACTAGATTGTAGCCATATCATTCCATGAACGTTTTATTAAGGGATATTAGGAAGCGAGGCAGTTGGGCGCCCGTCAGAGGCATAAGAATATGGAAGTATTGCATGCGCGGACAAATTAGTTAATAATTACCTGACGAATTAATAAACAATTCGATAGAGTTGTAGCAAATATTTTTTAAATGGCAGACGCCGAACAGTAATGCGTTGAAAACAGGGTGAGACAGGGAATATCACCGCGACGACTGAAGAGAGACTTTCATTTAGAACGTTGGGCGTTTCTCTCGTCTTGGATTCACCAGAGAAGCGCGCGAATGCGCGCGAAGATCAATAGTAAAAAAACGAGACATTATTGATTGGTGTTAAGAATGAGTACGGTCAGGATTAATATTACAACGTTAATGAGCTCATTATGCAATATGTTAGCAATTTAATTATAAATAAATACTTTAATGGTTCACTTAAAAAGGCTTATTATTACTTGCAATCAATCAGAGAATTCCGTTAACTATTCAAAGATTTCCAGAAATCGATGGCCCGTACGGACGGACTGTCTGCAAACGACCAATATAATTTGTCGCATGTCAATGCCCACAAGTAAAAAATATGTAAAAGGTAAATGTTATTGAGATTAGTCAGCAATCGTATTAATAATAAGAGCAAACTATTTGGCCATGAAATAAATAAGTGAGCAAAGTAGGGCAATTCATACATACATAAATTTATTAGAACTGCAATTGGGTATGACCCGGTGGCAGTTAAGAGGCAATAATTGCAAAAATTACAACACTTACATTAATGACAGAATGTGATATGAGTTAGCTCTCGTCGTTTAGATGTTATCGTCGGTTCAAAACAGCGAACGGATTACAAGATATGTAGGTTTAGGGGTCATAGCCTAGTGATCTCATAGATAAATACGAGACCGAGCAATCGACGGCAGATACATGCTAGATTGTAGTGCAAACAGTTGAAGACACGCGGCAGGAGTCCTCAACCACCCCCTCAAACTAGTGTTGTTAGCCGCAGTTTAAGTTTAACATTTAACTCGACGGGGTGGACGGACATCTTTCTGACCTTGGAGAATACTTTGAATGAAGATACCACTTTCATTGTAAGAATCCTCTATGATTACTTCAGAGCGAAAAAAATCGCGTATAACGCAGCAGACGGCCCTCGTAACAGAGACCTTATTCCAGGAGTAGCGCAACGTCCGATTCTGCGACCAGACTTATGGAATGTTTCAAACGATCAAATAATCCAGATAAAAGCACCAGAAGACGCAGTATTACGTGGGTACGCCAATAGCATAGCAGCAATCACACAGGTAAGTACTGCAAGAGAGTTCAAGTGGAAAATCAACTGAGTTGTGAATCATGTAAAAGTGTGAATGGGATACTTAAATTTTCAAAAATTTCACATTTCTATTTCTTTTTCCATTCTTTTGTTAATAGTACCACTTTATATTAAAGATACATATCTTGACTTAATGAATATGCATAGGAAGGTTTCAAATAACTTCTACTCTTTCTCAAAATGTCTCTAAAATATAAGGTCAAAATCATTTATTTTTTTAAATGCTCAGAGGTTCCACGAAAACTACCGCAAATTTTTTGATTGATGAAATTGATTGTAATTAAAACTAATGGAATCATAAATTGAACTTTCTAAAAGTTTTTATGTGTAATCTGTTATATTAATTTTTTCACTGAAGTTTTTATGTATTAACTTGCAAGAGAATTTAGATTCACACATATGAAGGGTGTTAGAAGAAACATACTGGTAACTAATAATGGTACAAAAGCCTTATGAGCAATTAGAGAGTACCCAGCAGATGTAGAGAAATTACAGAGGGAGTTTTTGTTCCCACCTTCCTCCATGGCAAGCAAAATGCAATTGCATACAGTGTGTGTTGTTATTGTTGTTTTGCTTATGTAGTTTTGATGTTAGGGAATATATATTGTGAATATGATTATCTTGCAATCCAGCTTTAAAAGAAATTTAATGTTTCGTTTATCTCTGTGTAAATGGATCTCCCTTATCAACAGTGGTTTTAATGATATTTATTTAAATATTCAGCTGCAGCTTTTCGCTAATTCCATTACAAAATAAATAAACCAATACCCAACTGGGATATCCCCCACTATGCTCCTCTTTTTATATAACAATTTTTTTTCTTGTTTATTTGCACTATTACATCTAACTCTGCCTTTTGTGGCTCTCTCAATAATTCCATCTATTAATCAACAAAGGGGATTGTTGCGAGCAACAGAAAATGTATTTTCGTGGGCCAACAGAATCATCCACAGGAAATTGCAATGATGTAGGTATTACATAAGTAATATTTTGCTTTACTGTGCAATTGAATCATTGGAATAACAACTCAAGAAATCAATACAGAATCGTCAATCTGAAAAACAAAATTCCAGTTTCTATCCCAAGATTTACAATATCCGCACTGTCCGTACTGTTCATAATGTACATATGTTTCCAGTACATCTTCCATCTCTTTCAAAAACAATTCTAATCAGATAAAGAAATTATTAATCATTTCAACAACTAAAATTCCAATTTTAATGATATTAAAATGTCATTAACCTAAAGACTTTTGTTATTAATTTAATTATACAGACATGATTTTTGGTCTAATTAGTATGGTTTGACAATAGTTGTTTGTCTTTTTCGAATACTAGAGGAAATATTTTAAAAATTTTGTCTCACTGAAAGATCAATGTCATATTGAAAAGTTCTTGGACATTCCCATTGAGATAAATATACTATTTTAATAAAAACATATGATTAAATGAGATCTTCAATATAAGTTTACTTGAAAAAAGAAAACCTCTTCTGTGAGTCGTGGTGTTGTGAGATCTTGTAACCAACTGTCTCTCCAACAACCAACAAACCTGTTTCCATGTTTTACCAATTTCAGAGAGAATTCAGAGGCGTAAATAAAGTAATGAGAATGTGCAAGGAGAAAGATGAGAAGGGCAAAATGCACAAAGAAGAAAAGAGTTTTCTTGTATGTTCTTAATAATATAATATTTGGTTTATCCTACAGACGAACATGGAAAATGGACAGAAAATGCACAATGTAGTATAAAAACAATAAAACCATTTGACTTACATGAAATTTCCAGAAGGCAATAAGCAGCCTTCAGAACTTGACATTACAACATGCCTTGACACAAGCTTGTTCCTCCTGCTTCATTCTACTCATGAAACATCAGTGCTCTTCCTCACATTGTCATAAGATCATTTACATTTACAAACAAAAAATAATATGTACACAAAATTATCCATAATTTATTTTATACAAATATTTCTTAATATATTATAATAAATCTACAGACCCTAAAACAGCTGCACAATCAATAACACATAACATATGTATAACAATAAAGGAATGTTAAAATGAAAGATAACAGTTGTAGACTTCCTAACAACAGTTACAATGAATTGGAGACTGGATTTGAGCATGTCAAGCAGAGAAAGCAAGCATACCAGCTGAATTACTTTCTTTGCAAGAAAAGAACATAATACTTACATAATTGTACAAAAGTAGGCCTACGCTTCACAGCGAAGGGGACTAGGTGGGTTAGCACACACTGTGTTGTCATGGTTGCATTAAAAGTGATGACTAGCAATTACACTATTTGCGTTCATCAGCATCTGGACGCAATGTATCGTCCCTTACTGCAGAAATCATTCGTAGCATTAGCACTGCTAACACTTTGTCCAAAGGGTCCATGAAACCGCGCTGCATCCACTTTGGAATGGTAGTTCGTGCATGAGAGAAGCCTAACTTTTGCAGGATATAATCTACACCATATGGTTCAATACTTTTGCCTCCCCAGGACAACAATCTAAAACACACACATAAAAATTGGTTATGAAAGAAGTCTTCTGAATTGTTTAATGTGAATATTAAATAAAACTAAAGCTGATAATTAAAAAACATTCAATTGAGAATCTTTTCAAAATCATTTCAATCAAATCTTTTCCAAAAATAAGCTATTTTTTGAAATTATAATTCAAAGATATTTAGGTTATGTTTTAGGAATTTGTATGGATGTAAAGGAGAAAAAACAAACAAAAAACATTATCTATGATCTCATCTGTTTAGTGACTGCCATAACCCTTTGCACTCCAATTTTTTTCTCCACATATTTCTGACAGTCTATCCACTTATTACCACAGTCAACCTCCATGGACTGCTAAATGTAAAATAAATATTGAAAAATCAAACCCTGCAATTAATTAATACTACTTATAAATTTCAATTGTGGGCTTTCAGTCTTATTTATCTTATGTTTTTAGGCGAGTGCAATAAAGGAGGAGACCAGGAAAAGAAATCAACTAAATTTCAATGTTGGAACCATGCCCATAACCAATTCACACTGAATGTTAACATTAAACCAACATTAGACTGAAAAGAGCTAAGACTGGTTGGAGATGGGTTTATACTTTTTAAACAAATTATACACAGTACTCTTCATAATTCTGAAATATATTTCAGTCAAGAAAATTGGCAATGGGGTCTGATAAATTAAGTTCTGAAAAATAAAATTCAACACACACCAACTCAACATGAAATATCTCAAACCACGAAATATCAAAGAAAGCTGCTTTTTTTTGATGTTTTGTAATTTTTAGCTTACCGAACAGTAGGCTCCAAGTGCCACGTTTTGCACTGATAACTCCGCCAATCTTTAGTAAACATTTCACCAGGGTCAAATGTCTTCCTCTTTTTCTCATCATCACTAGTTGCTGAGGTCCCTCCAGGAGTTGAGCGTCTTTCATGATCAGGACTATGAGCTCGCAGACCACTCTGTTAATTTTTTTTTTTTTTAATTTAAAATAATCCAATACATATAGCTCATATTGATATGTTATTAATACACTTACCACTCTTTCACGTTCCTTTACATATGATGTTATAAGATCATGAAGGAAAAAGAATGCTTCTGCATCTACTGTGACAAAGATATGATCTTCAAACTCTGTAATAAAACTACATTCCACAGTAGGTTTTTGACCTGCAACAATTTATTAATTATATTTAGAACTTACAAAACCTTAACAATTAATAGATCTACATTTCAATTAAATTACACGATTGTTGAATAACTAGATTTGAATAAATTTAAATAGTACAGAATTATATTGGAAAATATTCTTACTACTCTATTATAAACATAATATATGCCACAAATTACATACTTTCAAAATCACAGTTATGAATTATCATGATTTTGACTGCATTCTCCTATCTCATCTCAAAGGACTAGTTTCTAAACCACCACTAACAAACGATAAAGGACACAACTTGTTAACGATGATCTTACCAACTCCATCAGGAGTTTTCGCGGCTTGAAGGTGTTCAGTCTTCACATGCAACTGCAGTGATGGCAATGCAAAAATAACTTCCCGGGTATGGCTGTGTTCTTGCAGTTTACTCGTGCCAGCTGATCGTGCTCGTTGAGGCTCTGCCCCTCCCTCTGTGCGTTCACGTTCTCGCTCCAGACTTGGGAAGCGGTCAACAGCTGCAAAAGTACAATGTCAGCTAGAGTGTTTCTTGCTCAATAACATGTTTAAGAAATTAGATTAAACAATAGTATCTCCTTAGTCTAACCATCTATGTCACTGCATGAGAAAGCATAGTGAAACCATTCCTGCAAAGTTCGAAACTGAGGAGGAAACAGAACATTTCGACTGAGTCGACAAACGGTAGCCATGCTGTGATGCTGTGCATGCGCCTGGTCAGTGGTCATTCCCAAGCTAAATGTCAATGTCTGGACCACATGAACATCCAACAGTTCTGGAGCTGCAACAACAAAATTTGTCATTTTAATTATTTTTTTTATAAATCAATCAATAAAGAATAAACATCCCTGGGCCAAAAACACACCTTCAGTGGAAGGAACCTCTTGGGCTTCAGTTGCAAATGAAATACAGGGTTCTTTCAGAGAGAAAAGTGCCCATGACTTTGATTTAAAATTAATACCATGGAAACATGCCAAAGAGATGTTGTTGCCATGTAACTCCATGGTACCACCAAGCACAGTTCCAGAACGAGGTAAAGGGAAGCTGAGGGTGGACAACTGTAATCCGCAAACTTGAGCCAGAACACGCTGCCAATGGCGATGATGTCGAGCATCCCACGCAGCAGAAGAACCAGTACTTTCATTTCGGCCTCCTAGGAACAAAATTACTAGGCATGTCTCTTGCAAAGATCAACAGTTCTTTATACTTTCTATTGTAGTATTGTCTCCTCAAACTCCTGTATGAAATAAAAAATAACAATACTTAATAGAAAATATAAATCAATGCGTAAAGGTTGTTGCAGCAACCAGCTCATTTAAGACATGAATATCTTTCCTACAAATAGCATGAAACATTAGACATGCTATTCAAAAGAAGAAATAATCAAGAAAACTAACCAATCACTAGTCTGGAGCGCAAATTGTGCAAATCTACTATAAATTAAAAATAAGCCAAAAAGGGCTGATTTCACTAACTGTGACATACATTTTTAATATTATATATTAATATTACTTCAAAATTGATAAAATTACTTTCATACATGCAATGCTATTAAAAAGAGAATCACTTATTTGACATTTAAAATGAATGCAGATACCTTATGCAGTGAAGTATACTGCCAAGTTAAGAGCAATACTTTGATAGTTCTGGCTCTTTGGACAACAAAATAAATCAATTATATAAAAATGTTAATAAAAATAATTTAACAAATGATCATCAAATACATCTACTTCTATTACCAAACATCCAAGTGATATATTTACCCAAAAATAAGTACTTTGCAAAACATCACATTCAAGAAAAGCAGTCATCTTATTTTCACAGCTTAAGCCTAGTCAGTTACGATATAGGTTTTTATACTACCTTTACGATTCAATAAACTCAAAACGCTAATGATGCGATAAGCTGCAAAGACAATAAAAAAAATCAAGTGTGTTTATAAAAGAAGCAAATGAATTTCCATATTTTTTGAAAAGACTTGGGCACCTGCCATTACGTACTAATTAATATTTATAAAACATATAAAAATGCATATTTGTGTGCTGCAGTATATTCAGATAATTCTAAACGCTAGCCTTATCTTTGAAATTTCATAATTTTAAGCTAAGAATTTTAGGCTGCTCTTGCAAAAAATCTCTAATTTAATTTTATTAGGTTGCTCTTCAAAAAATAACAAAAATTAAAATTTAAAATTATCGGCAAATTTTTCTTTTGTCAGTTTTTTACACATTAGAGAGACTTTCTACTTACAAATGGAAAACTTTCTCAGAAAATACAAAGCATTTCAAATTCAAAAAAGATTTCCAAAATCAAAATACATGGAAACAACCGTATTTCTTTTCTCAAAGATATTGCTTCATCAATGGATTAAAATGAAGCACTTATTGGAATATTTTTAGATCTTTTGAAAGATTTTTTATGTCATTAACTATAACATTGGGTTATTGGTTCTGGTTAAATAATGGACTGGATTATTGAATTTAGGTAAGAAAGAGGATGGATATATTTTAATGCTAATATTTTGTCTCGATATAGGGCCGTTGTCAGTCCATATCAAGAAAAATCTCTCCTAATATTTGTAGTTCTCACGTACTTTTGAGCAGAAATGTGAAGAATCACAACAAAATTACCAATATATTATGATGTAATAAATACAGAACATCACAGTGGTGCAGAAGCAATGCACGCTATACTCACTGACAGCAGTGGGTCTCAATCTAAGCCTATCTAAATATTTTTGTTTGTTTGGTTTTTCTTGTTTTGTAAGAATAGAGCACAACCTGCTCAATTAAATAGCAGATATCCATTTTCATTTATATTTTCAAAATTCCAAAATCATTAGGATATGTAAATTCTGGCACTTTATTTGTTTCAGTGTTTATCAAGGGAAGGCTGAAGTGCTAGTGGGCTAGAAGTTGCAAAATTTACCAAATTCTTACTAATAATATGTGAAAGAATAAGCAGCACCGCTAGTTTCTGTCCTTTTCCTCCTTTTAAAGATAAATATTAATAAAGACCTACCCTCTGAGCCTGAACCAGTAGAGTTCCCAGGTCGATTGCGTCGATTATGAGCACCTCGACTGCGACGAATACTTCCAGGTCGACCATGAGGACGTGGCTGGAGACTGGAGAATACTCGTTTACTGCTCTTAAACTGTTGTGAGAAGAATTCATCCAGTTTATAAAACATCTTCAAAAGATCTGCTGTGGTTGACTTGGAAATCATAATCTGAAGTTGGTCCCAGCCAAGATCTCCATGCAAGAAAATCATAGCTGGCCTACAAACAAATAAGAGAAAAAACTAACATATGAAACATCTTTATGAAATAGAAATTATTAATTGGTTATGGTAAAATGATAATTATGTACTGTTTAATATGACATGTAACCAAACCTGACAAATTTATCACATTTAAGATGAATAATGGGTCATAATAATACACAGAATATTGAATATATATACACTCCATCTATTGAACATCCTTAATAAACAGCCTGGTGAAATTACTTGCATTATAAATATGTTTCAGAACAAATGTTACAAACTTTTAGGGAACGCAAAGGAGTCGAAGATTATCACTTTGTTTACCCATAAATGTATGATGAAAAATTTCATAAAACATAGTTACACATGTGACATTTGCACCTGATATGTAGGTAATGTGTCAGAATGTGACCTTCCAAGCATGCATGATCAGTTACCTTCCATTCAGGGACAAATGTGACATTATTTCTTTGTTATATGAAATTTTCCACCACATATTCATTAGCAAAAGTAATCATCCTTGATCCCTACATGCCATAAAATTTTGTTTTGAGACACCTGTTCATTGCAACAACAAAAGTGGTATCTCAAAATTTGCAACTTATTAATCTACGGGTTAATAAGTGAAATTATGCGTTTTCAGGGCAAAACTACCTTGAGCAAATGAGATTCAAAGGCAATTTATTATGCACTTTTAATTTACAGTTTCAGCACCATATAGCACAGCATGCCTCTTCTTTTATTGGTAAAGGTAGTAACCATAATAGTTAAAACCTATATTAACAAAGTAAGAGGCATTCAGTGCTTTCAATGAAACATAATTCTCTCTATGTTGTATGAAGTCACAAAAGATATTTTAGGTGGTAAGAGTAATATTGTGTTCACTAAGAAACAAAATTTTAGAATATTAATAAACATTTTAATTTGTGAACCAGTTATCAAAAATACAATTACAGACACAAATCCACATTGAATTAAGAAAATATTTTTCACTATTTGAAACATTTGTGTTAATTTTTTTCTTTGACAGAGACAAAATATAATTCAATCTTAAATCTGTGTAGGTCAAGAAACCATTATGTTTCTCCTCTCCTTAAAAAATGAAGCTCTCTTTAAAACCATGAGTGATAAAGAGTTTAAAAATATTTCAGCATTTTTCTGAAATTCCATATGTTCTTTCCGCAGCAGTATACCAGATGCACTGATTGTAAGAATGATAAAAGATTAAAAAAGAAGAAGAAAACAATAATTTAAGAGGCAACCACAAACTTACATTGTATTTGGGGGAGGGATGGATTCAGATGATTGAGGTAAATCATGACAGGATCGGGAGTATGGAAAACGAATATGGTAGTAACATATAGGCTCACGGTAAAGGATTGCCATCAATAATTCCCTGTAATACAAAGAGAACATAAATACTTTCTATCTTCCATCAATGAACTATTCATTGTTTCATCAATGCTTCAGTTAAATGCAGAATACAGAACCATTCCTTAGAAGATATAAGAAAACATTCTAAACATTACCTTCTGGTGGGCATGAATCCATCTGCTGCTTTACTTCTTGTTATTTTCCATTCATCTCGAAGAGATACAGCAAGTGAACTGACACGTGACATGAGCACACCTGTTCCCATGTAGTCTAGGCGGAGTTCAAGGGCGAACAGTTTAAGGCCTACAGTGTGGTCAGGTTCAGTTCCAGGGTCTTCACGGATGTGAACTGAAGTCGATATATGAATAAAAATTTTAAAAATAAATAAATTGTAGTGAATTTAACTTAAATTATACTAGATATATGTAATAAAAATACATCATAGGTTCCTTAAAATAAAATAGAAAATTAAGATACATGTATCCAAGCTTGCTACCCATCTCAATTAAATTTTTCATTAAGAAAATGTATCCCTTGATTTATTAAACAAATGTTGAGATGGATCCATATTTTGCTTTTGGACAGTAAAATGTAGTTTTGCTATGTATGTTTTTAGTTGAGCTTTATTTGGCTAGTTGTGAGAAGAGTGGGGCTGGGAGTGTGGGTGTTAGTACAATGAAATTGGCAGCTTGTTAGCCAATTCAAGTATGTTTTTCAAAATCCAAGAGAAAAAATTTCTAGATTTCAAATGCGAATTGATTAATTGCTTGATTAGTGATCTTGAGCATGTTGATTTTCAGGACGTTAGTTTATGTTTTATCGCAGGAGGTTGTTGTGATCTTCCCCCACTGGATGGTGAGATCCGGTCGCCAACCTACTGTTAGCTAAAGGGGTTTCCCCAACCAAGTATCTCCCACCAGGGGGGCACCATTCCAGACAGGACCAGAACTAAGCTCCCAACTAGTCTCCTGGCATGAGTGTTAATGTAGTGAATGTAAGTGTAATTGTGTGTAAGTAAGGGATGAGAATAGGAGAAGAAAGAGAAAGAAAAGATCGTGGGCAGTCCATGACCCCAGCACCCTAGTGCTGCTCTGGTATTTGCCTGATATTCCCTTCACGCTAGAATTCTCCATTACAGAGGTTGAACTTGACCACAGAAAACTAGCGATCAGAGCAGCTGGCTATTAGAAATCTCCTTCAAACACTGGCTGAATTCAACCTAGCTGTCAAGCTAGTGTCAAAAATTCTGCCACGGTTAGGACTCTAATCTCTAGGACCTCCCTGTCAGAGGCACTGCAGTGGCATCAGCTGATGCCCTGAGCCACCTCTCCCAGTTACACGTGAAGAAACCACACTCGTTGCTACCATTATTAATAATTGAACTATGTATTCTCAGGTAGGGATTCTGGAGCTCAAGAAATCATGTCCAGATTATATTTGTCCCTCACACATCACATATATTTTAAACTGATTTTTGGCCATAAATAAATTCTTCCATAACTAGAAGGTCAACTATAAGAATTTGAAAGTGAAGGAAATAGAGAAATTTATTAGAAGACCATAAAATAAAACAAGTACTTTGAAAACTATTTCCAATAACTGACAGCAATTTACACAGAAGAATATACTTGCGAGCACTTACTGTATGTGTCAATTTTGCTCAGCTCAATGGCACCACCAACAATGCCACCTTTTGCATCCAACCCTGAGCCACCCAAGCCTACTCCAATATACATATTTTTATGACCATTACTACCAATTGAGAGTCTTCCTTCTGATTTGAAGTCTTTGGTCAGCCACCTATGATACATAAGTAGTTAGTAACAACAGAAAATACAACACATGAGAATTTTTCTTTAGATACCTTTTTCATTGATTAAAAGAATCAAACCTTAAAATAGTTTGAAATCAAAACTACTAAATGAAATTTTAGTATTAACATTAGACACCTTTTAAACAGAAGTATAGAGTATTATTTTTAACAAAATGCTGAAATGTGTTTCTTAACATAAAGAAGTGATACTTACATTACATTTCCCATAACGTTTCCCATGTTCATGTGAACATTCAAACGTGTAAAATTAACAGCAAACAGCACCAAAGTTTCCCAGGCAGAACCTATTTTCTGTTCTGATGGACTTGGAGTATCTGATTTTCCATAACTACGACCCCCAGCTACAGACATTAATGTACATGGTCAATTAGTGTCCAAAAGAAAAGTTTGTAATACTTGATTTTAAATTTCCTATTTGAACTGCAGAATTATGAAAACCTTACCTCTCACACGTGCATGTCTTGCTAGGTCATTTTCAAGGCTCAATCTCAGCCTGTCTCTAGCAGGCAACATTGGACTACGTTCATTAGAAGGTGCTGAACGGGACAAACCAATAGATTCTGCATGCCGCCCACTACAAGATAAAACAGGTCATAAACCAATTAATTATTAAACAAATGTTTTTGATGTGTTACACAGAGCCAATGTACAGTGGAATCATGATATTTTATACACAAAAGGTAATAGAAGAAGTTCAAGTAAGAAAGTATTTCAAAGAATTGAGATTTGAGTTATATGTTAAATTCTCGAATTAATTACTTCATTTATTATACTCCATTTATTCCAGACTTCAGACGTGCTATGCAGGAAAATGTGGTAATGTGCTGAAGAGATCCCACTGCACTTTTAGTTTAATTATTAATTAAATGGAATTATCTGAAATATCGTTTTAAATGCAATACAAACCAATGCATTGTTGAGATTGGCAACTACAATTCTCTACCTTGTATCAGAAGGCACTGCACGTGCAAGAGGTGAATCATCATCTGGACTTGTTGGGGGAGTTTCTTCACCCTCACTATAAGCAGCACTTATGCTTAAATCCCCTAAAAAGAGCCGACGAACAATGCTACGACGGTACCATGCTTTTGGGAAAGCTAGAATTTCAGTCAGACGGCGCATATCGTATTTGAATGAAGCTGAACCAATGTCAACAATTGCTGTAATAAATATTTATAGTTAGCTATGAACACAAATATAACGGGCATATTCTGGCAATATATACTCAAATACATACTAGAGAAACGAATAACAGCTTGACTTTGATCAGAACTCTTCAACCCTTTGGTTTGTTGATCACATGGAAAATTGAGCTTACGGCTACGGGAAAGGTGGAATTTAACGAATTCAACATTAACACTCAATGAATCTTTTCTTTCACTATCTGCCAAAGGGGACCACTGAGCCTCTTTCAATCCTGTAAAAGAAACAAAAATACTAAAACATTAATAAATTCCAAAGATGTCCATCAAATTTCTATGCATATACACAGTACGATCCTAGGTCTGTTCATTTTCAACACAAAATTTTTACTGTACTCTTATAAACCGAATATCTGTACACATTAATATGAATGCATTTAAAACAGACAGTACTATTCCCTCTCAAATTAAACTTATCTATAAGTTAAGACATAACCAAGTCTTATACAAATATAAATAAATTACTGCAACCTTCTTCAATTTTTTTATTATAAAGTGGTATTAAATATTGAAATAAATAAAAATAATGTACTAAAAAGTAGATAATGGGAGACTTCATCTTTTGGTTCTCTGCTAATCTCGACCTCAAAGCGTTTGCAATTTCTTTGTGCTGGGAGATTACCTGAATACAACTCAAGAGAAAGTGATGTATTTTACTAAACCTATATTGGCTTTAATAGCTATAATCGTTCATCAAGCTTTATATTAAATGAAAATAGTATATTTGCAACACCAGAAATATTCTACAATATTACAAATTGAATTAGTGAACATATGAACAAGAGGGGCTCAGTCTTGAACATCTGTACTAGATACTACTATTTTATTGGAAAATCAATGCAGTTTTACCATCATTTGTGATTAATTTTTTGAATTATTCTTACTTAACTCAACACTGAAAATATATATGTGAGCTAGGCAGTGAAAATTCAAAAAAAAAAAACAATTCTTTCTTGAGTGTGTGACACTATAAGGGTAAAGGATATTATTAGTTCATAATTTTTTTATGTCATGTTATAATCAGGTACCTGATTTCTTGCCACCTCCATATGGATGGAAAATGTACACAGAGAAATCAGCCAAGCATCCTGTTACACTGAGGCCTCCTACAGCTGATGGAGATGGAATAGAGTCCCAACGACCTGAGCGACCTTCACCAAATTCACTGTAACAACACACACAGTTGAAATATTACTTTCACTAAAAATAAGGTGATTTTTTTTATTCTTAATTTTTCTTTAATTCATAGCATAGTATCCAATAAGACTTATAGGCATGAAAAAGTTTCAAACCACATATTTGCAAAACATGAATATCCAGTAAACACCCTTTTGACATAGACCTCATCCACTGAGAATATTTGTTTTACTCTTTTTTTTTTTAATTACAATGCGCTTCAAAATAATGTTACCTATGGAGCTCTTCCTCTGCTCGTTTGGAAGAGAAGACAATATCCAGTGAAGGCAATTGCAACATGCATTCAACTCGGGATACAGGCAGACAAGAGAAACGGAATGTTGATGGTTGCATGTGAAAGTAAACAATTACATCCACAGGGAATGATGCATACGCATAGTTGGCAGATGCTGTAGCAGCTGCCCAAGTTGAGTCCTGGTCCATTGCAAACATTGCATTTACTGCACCTAGCAGAAACAAATGTGATGGAAGAAAGTAAGAAAGAAAATACAAATTCATACTCCTATTAATGGAAAAAGTACTAATTATTCTTAAATTTCTCTAATTTTTTAATAAGTTATAAGATTAATGGCATATGATGTTTGCTTATGGAAAACCTATTCTTCAAAAAAATTAAAATCAAAAAAATTATAAAGAAATTTTAAAACACAAGATGTACTACAAACATTACTGTAAAACATAGACAGTTCAAACGTTCTTAAATTTTGAAAATATGATCAACAAATATATTAAACATACTTTTCGCATAAATCAATTTTATGCAATGCAATCTAATAAATTTTTAAAATAGTAATGCGTATGCAGGTTTTGCTAGATTAGTACCTGAAGTCTTCGCCTGTTGGAATGAAGATGGGATTGGTTCCAGGGTCTGTTCTAGATACTCAAGAATGTGTGGACTGATGATGGTCTCTTCTGGTATGCTCTGCAGAGTCATCCATGCAAAAAGACTTGCCTTCTTGGTGCCTGATTTTCGAGGAGCAGGTGGAGACAATCCAGCAGTCTCTTCTTGCAGTGTGTGGGATTCGTAATGTACCTGAGCACAGTTTGTTTATTGGCAGAGCTAGGATTTGTATGTAATTACATAATTGCTCCTTCATAGTTAAAATTAAACATGCCTTGTGTTTATGAATTTCGCCTTTTGAAGTTATTTGAAACACATTTGATTCTCCATATTTATCAATATTTCCAGGAACAGTAAATATTTTCACGTTTAAAGAAAACTCACATATCCTTGCGCAATAACATTTTACTTGAGATACATCCATATTCTTTAATAATTATCTGGGAAGATTATTTTTAACTTTTAATTCAATTTTAAGTGGTTAATCACATTTAGCTGTAGAATTGGTTTTAACTCCACAAGATTTTGCAAGGTTGGAGATTGTTCCAACGTTCTTCTGGAATAGAGTTTTAGCCAGCATAAAGCAATATTGAGGCAAATGACACAGTTTGATGACTGAATATTTAAAACAATACTTTGCAATTCACTGCTTTAGAAATTGTAAATTGCCAGAAAATGATAAGGTACAAGTATGTACTTACTTCCAGCAACAAAATTGTTCAATAGGATTTGATTCAAGAAATGACTAATTCTTGGCTAATATTAAAACTGCGTTATTTGGCCATTCTATTTATGGAATATTAACAGATAATAAATACATTGCTTTTTCTTGACTTTTTATTCAATTTTTGGTCCTAATTTTTCCACTATTTAGTACATTTTTAGGTACATATTACTCCGTATGAACTTGAGTCTTTTTATTAGTACCACCCCTTGCACCTACAGAGGTCAAATTGTTACACTAAATCTTTTTTCTCTCACTTGTCTTATTCAATAAATCTAGTAAAATTATTTGCCCACCTCTGTAAGTACTTAATACTTCATAGGTACACTCCGATTAATGAAACGTACATCTAAACAGTGAAAAATATTATTTAAAGCTATTTTGATTCTAATTTTATTTCAACTTATAACTGTAAGTAAGAAAAATAAAAATATTCTAGTTATTTTAATATTTTAAATGTACTTGTACACAGTTTATATATTGCAAGCATTAAAAGCGTTCAAACAATATCCTTTGCTTTAATTCAATTTTTTCCACGTCAGGTGGTTGTAGAACAGACCAAGGACTTTAAAGATACTTAAGACCACATCATTCTAGAAGTAACTATAACGATTCTGGAAGTAAACATATCTTAATGCTAAGCATTATGTCAATGTGGCCCGATACTTAAGTGGGATAGATTCAGGAATGTGAACTCAAATTTCATATTTTTTAAAACAAATAAAAAATTCCATGTACATTTGCTTTCAAGTACATAAAAGGTTCATATCCACAACTGATTTTGTAATATAAAAGAAAACCTTTACTTCTGCAGAGCTTTAAGTCAATACGTTCTCACTGGCCACTTTCCCTATCAACCCATTTTCTCAAAATATACATTTAAACTAATTTCAAAGACAACTTTTGAACTGAAGCATACATTTGTTTCTATTTTCCAAGGACTATAATAGAGGTCAATATCTACAACATGAAGCAAACAAAATGTTTTTGCTGGATTAGTTACTTATTTATGACTTTTATTATTGAAAAATATTGGTAATTTATGATATTGCATAAATCTTGTAGGATAAAGTAAGTGGTTGACAGTCACATTTCCGTAGGCCATCAGCATAGCCTACTCTAGAGTGGGCTATGCCATCGGTCAAGAAAAAGCAGGCTGGTAATACTTAGCCTTCAGCGAGTTGCAATCAATTTATCAAGAGCAGTCGATGGTGGGATTCTTTGACCACTTCTCACCATGGGTGCAATCATCTAACTTAAGGAAGTGTACAAGCGTGAGGGCATGATGGAAAGAAACACATGTTTCCACCATAGATAATTAGCGAAGGGAATATGGCAAGATTTTTAACTTCAAAGATTAGTGAGTATATATAAACACAATGTCCAGAAATAGTCTGACGTGAATCATTACAAAATATTTTCTGTTATTTTAATTATACGGAATGTATTACTTTTCAAGTGTCAGGATTTCTTGTTACAGTCAACTACAATACAATTGTACTAATCTTGGTAAATACAAAACCTTTTAATTACATTTTCAGAAACCTGTTTAACACTTTGTTCACAATGAATAGTGATTATATTGTTCCAGAATTTGTAAACCTTGCTCATTTCATTACTTTTGGAGAATAAATACTGAACGATATGAAACAACATTTTTGGATTTTAGTCCAATATGCACGCAGTACACTACATCTGTAGTAGGCCTAACTTTTCTACAGCTCTTCCTTTTGAATGATCGCACGATCACGAACTAGTCATTTTCTAAAAACAGAAAGTCACCAATTACGAGACACAAATATTGAGATATGGACATTTTATTTTAAAAGATATAAACATTTTAAAATCATTAAAATTTCATATGCGACAAAGTAAATCAAGTTTAGTCAGCAGACAATTGGTTACGGTATATAAAAGTTACTTTGCTAACCGTTGTTCGGCGAAGGGAAAAGTCTTGAATAATCTATCGCTTAACATCTTTGGGCAGTATACCCCCTTCATGTACGATTGTGTGTGTGAGAGGCGTTCATCTTTGGCGCCTTCGGGGGCCATCTAGCTAGGCATCCCGCAAAACACTCCTCCATTACGTAACAGTCAGGTTGCGTTTCTTTAATTTTTTCTTCCCACCCGCAGTAATTCTTAAGAACCGGTAGTATTGTAATGGTATGCTGGAAATTTGTGGTTTCCGGCACAAAATCACTTATTTTCGGGACCTGGTAACGAAAGTGGATACTCGTACATCTTGTTCCTGTTTCTAACAAGCTGTGTAGTCAGAATCCATGTTGTGTGGGTTCCTTGACATAAAAAAATCGATCCGATCGCAAAACGACTGTTAGACGTCTGTCGTTAAAACTAGGGTCTAAACCGCTCAGACGACTTTTTCAGAAATTAATATTTCCCAATCGATCTGAACGAGCAGAAGTCCTGCGAGTTTCAAACGGATATTTTGATTTTTAGTGGTACCTTAGAAGAAATCTCAACATTGAAAAATTAAAAACACCCTCAAGAATGGCTTCATTTTTTATTAAATTTGACCTCGAATAGCGTAAAGAACGCCTAAAACTAGTGTAGTAGGAATCGTTTTCGTTCAACTGAATTTTTTGAAAATTATGTAAGTTAGAAATAATGTGAGGAACTACTAGCTTTTTAAACGTTGGAAAGGTGGGTTCAGCCTTGGCATTGGTGGTGTTGCCGTAAAGTACCTAGCGTGTTTTCTCGGAAGAACCTGAATGCGAATCTCGGCGCGGAGAAAAAATGTTGATAGTTGGAAATATATTTGCAGGTTCAAGTAGTAGAACAGACGTGGTCAAATTATTAGCAAAATCAATTCTTATACTCTAAATTATGACTATAGGGGTACAAGCGTTCTAGTTGGACGGGAGAAAATTCGTTATATTTCTGTAATGTGTTGAGTGCACAGGTGAAAATGCAACCCTCGATTGAAATGTTAATGGGAATATATTGTTTTATAGCACGTATATCCACTGCAATCACAACGACGACATTTTAACAATATTTTTTATTTCTTGGAGGCGGCGTATTTTTTTCTCATCGCTTGTACGTTAGCAGTGCAATTCGCCAATCCACATTCCAGATCCAGGCCCCATTCCAAGCCCGCCCCTGATGTATCAAAGAGGGGTGGGGCGCCTGGGGTGGGTAGCAGCTGTTGGTGTAGCTCACAGAACGAGAATCCGTGAAAACGCGAAGACGGGCGAGGCAACAGATGGGTCTCCACGAAAACGTTCCACAGTTGAAGTGTTACTATTCGTACAATTCAGAAACAATACCATGACGAAAATTAGTCGTATTATAGGTGTAAATGTGACGTGTCAGTAGATTTGCAAAAGTTAAAGGAAGAAACGCGGACCACATTTCAGAGGAAGAGAAAAAAAAACGAAAGGCGGCTAAAACCAAACTTTTTATGTGTATTTTGCTAAGAAAAGCATCCACAAATAGACATTTAACATCGTCTCAACTCCAAAGTGTTGTCCGAGAGGACGGAGTACCAATTTCAAGAAAGAAAGTGTGGGGCAACTAATCAAGTTTTCCACTAAAGTGAAGATTTGTGGAGTTATTTTAGTGTATTGACTGGGCACAAATGACGTAGTACAAAGCAATACCAAAAGAGAACAATGTAAAGAGATCATCAGGGATGCCTTGTTGCAGCCATGAGAGACAGTTTTCAAGTGAGGTTGGAACATTCATGCACGATGGTGCTCCTTGCCACCGATCTAAAACTGCGAAAAGTGAATTGGAATCCAGCGAGATTTGAGTGGTCGACTGACCAGGAAATAGCCTGGATATGAATACAATACGATCACTATGGAGTGTTCTTAAACCGAAAGTGAAGGCAAAACATCCAACAAGGGAACAACTCGTAGAATATTTATTACTATTGGGAATGACAAAATTTTCGAATTATGCAAAAAACTCGTTCAAGGCATGTCTAGACAAATTAATGCTTTAATTTATGCTGAAGGTGCTCACACCAAGTATTAATAAGTTCATAGTTCTTTAACTCTATAGTTTAGTTCTGTTTTGAGATTTAAAGAGATTTTCTATTAAATTCCATTTTGATGATAATTTACTTACGTCTGTATAATATTGCATAGCCGTTATGAATTATGCGAGAAAGTATGTGCTGTTCCCACATTCATAATGTTTTTGTTTTTTATTTTAGATTTTTATTTCTGTTACACTCACCTCAAAACAAAGATAATGATGAAATCGAGAGCAATTGCGAAGTCAGATAGAAACCCGCGCGCAAATCCACTACAATGGCGGACACGGCACCTTTCGATTTATCCTGTGACCTAAACTGTCCGTCCACGGAATTGCAGGGGCTAGCCTTAACTATGACGCATCCTCCTGCACACTTCGCCACGCGAATCCCAGTTGATGACGAGGTTTCGGCTTCGAATACAGCGCTTAACACAAAACACTCTTCAGCATGTCCAACGCATTTTATGCCAAACTTTTTTTTTTCTCTCTTTTTTGCCGAAGAGTTTGGGTGAAAAAAAGAAAAAAACATCAAATGAATTCAGAATAATGAATCAGAATTCACTCAGCTGATTGCTCATCAATAATGCCACTCTCATTCACCCATACTCTGTTTTCATAAGTGTAACAGTATGCCCTAGCTTTCGACACTCGCTCTTCGCTTTCGTTCACCTATCGCACGACGTAGAATCAGTTCTTAACTAAAAGGGATGAACCCCCAAAATTTTAATTAAAAATGTGAATAAACTACTTTTTTTTTAATTTTGCTCGACTTAAGCATCTAAATCATTCTCAGCTCTCTCCTCTTAAACCTAAATCGTGGATGACCTCGGAAGGAAGGTTTACGCACCTTGACGTCGAGGCCCGGAATGTGGAAGATGGTGAGGTCGACGAGCTGCGCCACGGTGCTGTGCAGGTAGCGCAGGCGCGACGTGGAGGCCGGGGCGTGGGCGTGAGCGTGAGCGTGGCTGTGCTTGGAGTCCTTGCTGCGGCGCGCGGAGTTGGGGCTGGCGGGCGGGAACTCGAACACGCCGCCCGAGCAGCTGCGCTCCTTGCGCATCCGGCTCGTCCTGCGCCACGCCAGGTTAGAGAGTAAAATGGGCAAATGGGCCGACCTGGCCATTCCACTCAAACTCCACACGCATTTACTCCCCAACCGTACCAACGGAGCCGAGCCACTGGCCAAAAGGATAAAAGGTACTGACTGCTACACGACGAGACAAACAATCAAAAAAGTTCACGGAGGTTTACTCCACACAAGTTCAATGCCCTACGAGACGAGTTGCGAAGACGCGACAATTTTTTTTAAGTCACCAGAGGGGATCGATGATGAATATGTGAGATGTAAATGGAGAATGCAATAGATTCAGTAATAGATGAAATGATGCACCGTTTCCTGAACACCTCTCGCAAACCTACTTTAACAGTCACGAACTCCACTTGGGGTGTTCAGGATATGAAAGTTCGTTGTCGTGAGGGAGGCGGTAGCAATGGCCCTTGCCGTCTCACAATAAAAGGCGTCTCAAAAAGAGTGCATGAACATCTACACTACTACCAATCGCACAAAAGATAGGAAATATTTACAAGAGACGCACAGGATATCACATTCAATCGTAGTCGAATGGCATATCCATCAGCGTCGGGACTCTCCATATTTGGAAGAGATTAAAATTTGGTTGAACTCTAGGAAATAGTTTAATGGATTGAATGTAAGAGTCAACATACAGAACGTTACTCAGGAGCACTAGACTACTCAGTGTATACCCGTAGTGTTTGGAATATGGTCAAGAGAGTAAGCGCAACCCATTCAACGCTACTCAAAAAGAGGATTTCACATAGAATGACTTGAAAAAGCAAATAATTACAATAAAGTGCCTGAAAGGGGAAGCTTGGGAAAACGGAGAAAACGCATTTCAGACCTTTGCAAGAGAGCATTGCAGGAACATAACTGATATTTTATTACTTTTGAGAAAATGACTATGAAATTCAGATAGTTGAAAGATGTTTTTAAGACAGGTCCTTACCAAAATAAAATATTTAGTGCAAAGATATTAATACTAAAAATAGCTGTAACATAGAAATTGCAGAAAAAAATCACCAATTTTAAAATATCTGAGATCTTGACCTCAGCTGCCACACCGGTAAAGAGCTCTACTAAATTTTCCGCAGGTCATCTGGGTCCACAGAGCAAACCGCTCGCGCTGCGAGGTGCCGTAATTGAAGCAACCTTGCCTTCGGCCCGAGCGAGGCCTGACTACTCACAGCTTGAGCTCGTCCTCCTTGCTGGGGTCCTTGGTGTGCAGCACGCACTTGCCGCTGTTGATGAGCACCTTCACGTCCAGCTCGAAGTCGATGTTGGGCTCCTGGGGCTTCTGCTGGGCCGCGGGGCTGGAGCCTCCCCCTCCGCCCGGCGCTCCTCCGCCGGCGAGGCCGCTGAGGTGGCCGCCCATGCCTCCCTCGCGCGGGCCCGCCGTCTCCAGCAGCGGCGCCACGCTGCGCACGCCACCAATTAACTCTCAGTGCGTATACTTGGATTAAAAAAGAAAGTCCCTTCAAGGCCACGAGGCGAAAAGATAGGGAGATAGTGTTTCAATCAGGAGCTTCAATCCCAAAAAAGTCGTTACGAAACTCGATTTGGTTGGTTGGTGGTTAGTGATTCCGGGCGCGTTAACTGTTATGGTCATTAGTCCCCTACGTGTAGTGCATGTTTTCCCTCGGGAGGTGGCGGTGGCCTTCCCCCGCTCAATGGCAAGATCCGGCGCCACCCTTCCGTCGGCTAGCGGGATTTTCCCAAATCAGATATCTCCCACCAGCAGGAAGAGGAAGGAAAGATAGTGCTCGGTCCGAGACCCGTTTGGTAGGGTACTACTCCGGCATTCACCTGGTGTTGATCAGATAAACCACGAAAAAGCAGCAGTTAGCCGCTACATTTCCCATGCAGACAGCAACTGAATTCGACCTGGCGGACAAGGTAGTGTCGAAAATCCTGCCACCGGCGGGACTCGAATCTAGGACCTCCGGTCAGAGGTACTGCAGAGACATCAGTTGATGCTCTGAGCCACCTCTCCCGGTCGCGATTGGATGACAGTAGCCTCCTCTCCTGCCAGCTCGTGACCTTGAAGGGACTTCCTGTTTTAATCGGAGTAGGGACAAAGAAGAGGAAGAAAAAATCACACACAGTCCGTGGCCCGTTTTGTTACGGCTCTGCCCCGGCATTTGCTAGTACTGATCGGAAAAACCACGGAAACCACATACAAGAGCAGCCCGTCACTAGAATTAATCTCCAGACAGCGGCTGGATTCAACCTAGCTAGATAGCTAGGTCGGTTCTCGATAATTGATGCTTCAAACATAGTTAAACAGACTATATTGTGTAGTTACTAGAGTTGCTAGCCTACTATGTGCAATCCTTGTTTAGTTTTAGCATGAGTAAATAACCTCATACTATTAAGTGGTTGAGTAAACCTAACCCGCATCTACCTTACTTATGTTTAACATAGTTTTTACTATTTGTGAGTAATACAGATGTAAATTCGACAGTTAAAAAATATTGTTTGTTTAAAATATTGGTTTGTAAGATTACAATTTCAGAAACTGTAGAGGACCTCACAAAGGTCAAAACGTCTCTGAAATACACATTTTTAAAAATTTGACTGCAATCATCGTTCTTGATTTGAACGTTTGATATTATATTTACACAAAATAGTATAGTCAATGTTTCAAAATACATTTGTATCAGAAATTCAAAAAACAGAAAAGCGCAAATGTTCACTCAGTTTGTTCAAACAATCACACATTCTGCTGCCAATTTTAATCATTTTAATTTGACAAACAAAGCACTGAAACTAATTGGAGATCACACTTTTTAACAGTTTTAAAGTGAGTAATAAATTTTATAAATACATTATGTACAATTTGTTAGTACAAAGCTTATCACATGTTAAATAACAATGCAAAAACAGAATTATAGACATGTTTTAGAAGTGGAAAGTGCTTTGAGCTTTAAATAGCAAGCTTCGTCGTTAAGGCGCCGGTTTTCGACGTTTCAGCAAAACTTTTCGATGACTTACTTTAATGAATGTGAATTTTCAGAATCCTAAAAATTCAATATTTAACAATCTAACCTATCAAACAATTTAGAAGTGTAAAGAAAAGTAAAGTAAAAGTAAATGTCTCCTTGGCATATTGTGGCACAAATCAGAAAAAATATTATTTTTAATAACCCCCTCAAAATTTCGATACCCGGATGCAAGGTGCCGAGCAGCAACGCATGCTGCACTTCACATAGCAAAGAGGTATTACACAAGAGCAGTGATTCTGAACCATTTGCAAAAACGACTATCTGGATTTTATTAACGCTGGTACTCGTTCAGCCTCTTTCCGTACAGTCAGCGTTTCAACCAATACAATTATTATTCCTATATGTGAGTACTCTCTGTCGCGCGACAACTGCTTAGGTCATTAGTCCTCTACGTATAACACATTTATATCCAGGAAGTTAATGGTGTTCTTTCTACGCTGGGCAGTGAATTGCCACTGTACCACAAGAAACTGATATGATTCCTAAGAAAGCAAGGTTTATTGACTATTGAGTGAAGACGAATGTATTGTAACATAGCAACATGGAACCTGCTCAACAAGGCCTGAAGAAATCCAGAGGTGTATAGTCCAAGAACAGAGGATGATTCTAATACGGTTCAAGATTTAGCGTTCTGACATCGATCGTCATTGACACGTCTAATAGGGCTATTTGAGTCGAAGGAAAGACTTTTGGCAAACCAATTCAGTGGCAGAAACCCTTTACAGGTTGATTATTGTACCTCATATACGAAACATAATTAACATACATTTAAATCATGCTCAGAAGTTTGTATTCAAATATTACGGGAGAGATATTACTGAACTGCGCCGATCTCTTGAATTCGATGAGTAGTAGTAATGATGATGATGATGATAATAATAATAATAATAATAATAATAATAATAATAATAATAATAATAAGAGTGAAACTTTAATGAAGTATAATGGCTCGAATAAGAATAAATCAATATGCATTGTATCCCCAAGTTCCTAATACAGTATACGCAAGGAATACCATTTCTGACAACATATCCCCTCTCAGACTGGGCTTACTATGGGTGTGTCTGTGAGGACGTACTCACCTGCCGTCGGCGGGGCCGGCGGCGTTGGCGGGCGCGTTGGCGCAGCGGGTAGACGCGGGTGCGCTGGCGGCGCGTGTGCGTGGCTTGGGGCGGGAGCGGGGGCCGGAGCGGGGCGGGGCAGAGGCGGGGGGGGGGCGGTGCGGGCCGGGGCGTCGAGGCCCGGCGGCGGGCGGCGTCGCAGCTCCACGCGCTCGCCGCCGATGTCCATGTGGTGCGCCCCCACGCCCACGTCCCACTCCACGTCGCCCTCGGGCAGGCTCAGGTCGGAGCCCGCGCTCGGCAGCGACGACTGCCTGCGGGCACCGCGCGGCTCTCTCAGCCCGCGCCGCTCCCTCCCGCCCTCCTCGCACCACCCTCTCGCTGCGGCTCCTTGCCCCGGACGCCAACCCACTCGTTTGCAACGAATGGATTGGCGCGTGATATCTTAAAGACGAGGAACTAACCCAAACATTTCTATTCCCAAATCCGTAGTGCATCTACAGCTCCCCCAAAAAACGAGAGAAATACAAAGTTATTGAAAGTACTGACTTACGTTGTTTTCTCTAGACGCGACCGGGCTTGTCGATACGGGGAAAGACAAGCGTTTTAAGATACGTGTTCGTAAATAAAGTTGTTCATTCTATTGCCAGATTTATTTTTATCAGTAACAATTAATTTCACAGAAAACGATGTTCGTTATACAGCTGCAAGCTTTTTTCACGGTGGTTTTGCAGCAACTTGATGGAATCTCCATCTTGTATTCTGGAAAGTGCTTCCGATACCTCAGTCTGACACTCATTTCTTTCATGATTAGAAAAGATATGTGACGAAAAAAGGGGAATACATTTAGAAAAAAATCTTCATCTACAATGCGAAATTATATAAAAACAACATTGACATCAAGGCGAATATAAAGGAGTTGATAGACAACAAGCGATTGCAAGCACCTCCTCCTATAAATGTGTTGTAGACATGAAAAAAAATCTTGAATAATTAGGATACGGCATATAATATGCATATATTATTCTAACATTGCTTATTCATTACATTTATTTCTTATACTTCTTATACTTCGGATATTCCATTACGATCCTTATGAAGGGAGAAGTTCTCCGCGTTGAGCGGAAGAGGATATATGGATCTCCACGTTCCCAAAGGACGATATACCTAGCAGAATCTAGTGAATCTTTACCATGGGGAACGACGGGTCACCTCACGAATCCTCGTGGTTGGTTATCCAATGACAAAGATTTAAGAACAGTATCAATGATTCTCAGTATATGTTAAACACAATTTGGTCAACAATGTCAGATTTTTCAATAAATCTGTGTCTAGAAATGCATGTGAAGTGAGAATATCACCTTCTCAAAGTATGAGTTGAGAGTGGGAGTCAATCTACCAACACCTACAGCCAATTTTTCCTGATGTATACTAGTGGCGTGTCCAGAAAATAATTTCCCCAAGGACGTCAACAAAACACAATTCCATGGTTAAACTTTATTGTAACAAATATAAGACATGCTGTACTATTTTCCAACATAATTACTATCAGAATTGGGACCTTTGTCACAATGTTACAAATCAACGTTTGTATCCTTGTTTCGTAGATGTCTACCGGCTGTGACAGATACCAATGTTTGACAAACACCTGCAAATTTTCGTCACTGTGATACGCGTAACGTTGACTGGTCAAGAATTTCTTGATGTGTAAAAAACTAAATGGAAATTATAGGGGGCGAGATCCAGTCTATAATGTCAAACACCTCTCAGCGGAGCTGTTGCAGAAACCATACGTGGCCGACCGTTTGACCACACCATTAATCCCACGGTGTGACCAATGTCTCAATTCTGGTATTGAGTATATGGGAGCATAGAGCAACATGAGGTGTAGATATCCGCCACAATAAAGGTTTCCCATGAGACCGTTTCCTTTTTGTTGACCTAAAGAAATGGTTTCACGATGCACCTCGTACATTGCCTTACATTACTACTGGCAGAAGACTTAATAAAAAGAAAATGAGTACCTAGAAGTAGTAGAAGACTATTCATCTCCGGTCTACCTTCTCTCAATCCCGAACCTTACGTGTCCACCATTGTCACACAGGCTGTCACTTGATTAAAACAATATTCTTTTCTACAAAACATTTAACTCCGAAAATCTCAAAACGAATAGATCATAATCTTCTTACTAGGAATTCCTCATTAATAATTTACAGAAAAAAATTTAATCTTTCAATTATTCGTTGTTTTCGGTTTTTTAAACATAACGACTAGATGCAGTAGTGACTCGACATAGTACTACTTTCTGGCAGGAAATGTAGCAGTAGGGTAAAATAGACTGTAAAATATTTACTCCTCACATTCCGACATTTCATCAACCAGACACCTGTAGTATATCGATATACATTATCCGAGTAACTTGCTCTCCTTCGTCACTCACGGTTAGACCCATTCCGCTGCTCCATTCGAGACAACAGAGGTGACATTCGACGCATCTCGGTCTCCTGGTGGAGGGTTATCATTTTCTTACGGACCCATCCAAACAATTCTACGAAATTCCTCTAAAAATGATTTTTGTTGACTTCTTAGCTGTCCGGGTGACGCCGCGTCGTTGGCTGAGAGGCCGACGTTTCGCCTGTCTCAGTCAACAACGTGGCGTCACCCGGACAGCCTCGAAATCATGAACTCGAGCCGCGGAAGCTAACGAGTACGTTTTTTGTTTTGTTTTTCTTAGCAACAAAAATGAGTTGTCGAAGACTTGCGGCACCTACAGATAGATAGCTCATTCGATTTCCTCGACAAGGCAAATCAAGTGGCACTATTTCTTAGCCAGTTCTCTCTGACATGCTCTGAAAGAATTACAGAAAACACGAGTTTCTACGCGCCTATGAGCACAATGGTGAAACGCAATGAATTATTATGCTCTCTTTCCGGTACTTACATGGAACGTTACGACTAATCAAATTAACGATAACTAAGTCTAAATTTGAAATAAAAAAAATTTTAAACAAGTATTTTAACCGATAGTATTTTTTCTTGTAACTTTCCATTCCCGAAAATGAACTGTATGATGTTTAAAATGTATATTTATGAACTTCCAAAGCTCTATTAAAAGCTTTTAACAGACACGTAGCAGTCGGAGGCGCTACGCTAAGTTAATTATTAAATAACCTTGTTTCCTAAAAGATATTGAACTTCAAAGTAATCAACGGTTGGATATTAATTAGATTGTTTCTTCTTAATCTAGAAATTGCTTTCTTTTACCTGTTGTATCTAAAATTATTCAATTCCCGTCATTTTTTACTCCCTGCTCCCCTTACATCATATACCGAGTATACTCCGATTCTTAACCCGTGCGCGAGGACCTGTGTGGTGTTTCGGCGTGCCACGTGCTCTCGTTAACCTTGTCCGCAACATACCGACGCCGACGGCGCAGCGTCGTCCGGAGAGGAACCGAATCCGACAGCGCGGAGGCTGCTTTGCCAGCCGTCCAAATTATCCCTCTCGCCGATCTTGATCGCGAGCGGACCAAGCTGCAAATCATCCATTCGGGTGAAAAGCAAATCATCGAACTCGTAGGAGGGGGAATCACATCTACTACTTCCAACGTGAAGTGTTCCTTGGAAAGCGTTGCAACATTTAATGCGTCCAATGTTTGCTCATCCTACGATTTACTTCAGTTTACGCTACTCCAGCTTGCGAAGAAGATTACTTGTGTGATTACGAACAAGTGTGCAGCTTTTAAATTGCGATACGAACATATAGATAGGCACGTCTTTTTACTAGATATTTCTACTCGTTAAAGGCACAAAAAGCTCGTCGGAAAAGCAGCAACTCTACAATACTTCTTTTTTACCTTCAGGTTTTCGAATAACTCTGGCTGCAAAAAACCATAAATAATTAAATATCTGAATAAAGCAATACATAGAAATTCGTTTTCTGAAGCATCAAAGTCATATTATCTACTACATTGCAGATATACAATAGAACTATTACGCAAATCGCAGCGAAAGAAGTCGGCGGCGAAGCTACCGGTCATATGATGAAGAATCCCCCAGGAAGGAAATCATTAACTAGAAATTTAGGTACTAGACACCAATTGTGTACACACTCAAAAGATATAGAATCGATACATAAACATATAATTTTTGTTTTTTCAAACGATATAAGAATATCCCCCAGTTCAGATACACATAGAAAAGAAAAACACATTCTAAAACACACAGAAGGCGACAAAATCACGTTAGTTTGTTTTTTTAATAATTTTCCCGCCTTCTCGTTCACCGTGAACTTGATCTACGAGCTACCAGAAAGATGTATTGTTCTGGAACATACCATTCGGGCTCAGGAAGAGGGGATGGGGATCGAAAAGGGACGGACGGCGAGGAAGGCCAACTGCGGCGCGCCGGTCATGTCTCGAGGAGGACGAAGAGGTGAGGACGGGCATGGGTACACGAGGGCGAGCTACGACCGCTACATACGACACGCATTGCCGTGCCATCTACGACCATCAGCCACTAAAACTGCCATCGCACGAGTCATTGACGTTGCCTTTCGCAGAAAAATCAAAAGATTTGGGGACACAACGTGGGAGAATAGTTCCGTAGTGCCATAATATCACCACGATTGCAATGTACAGGAGTATGTACACGCAAATGTTTCTGAAATTTATGAGCAGTAAAGTATCAGTTAAAACGACGCAGTGTCCCTCTGCAAGAAATGTAGGGAAACGTATCCTACTAGTTTCAGATTATTGGTCGCTATTTACGATGGGGTAAATGAAATGAATTAAACCAAAACAGAAACATCCCACTTCTCATTTTACACGCTACATAACTAGCACTGTATATGGTAAAATGTTGTTAACTTTTTATTTTTCTGATTACGATACTTTGAAGACGAATTAACAGAGATGACAATGCGGTAATCGCTCACGGGAAAGGTGTTACACATTTATGCAGAGGTTAAAAATACACGCTTCTAACTCGGATTCATTAAAATCTGAAGATCTGAATTTGATTTTGTTCACTAGAGTATACCGACACTCCTTCCATGCGAGTAAGATAAAACGGGATTAGAATTTTACAAAACAATTCGTACTAATAACTTGACATAATAGCTATTTTGGCTCTCTGCCATGGCAAAAATTGCTTGCTAGTAATATTATTTCCAGTAGAGATCTCAGACGTTCTCTCGACAAGACAGTTCGGATATAATGAACTGCGACCGACACGGGAAAATAATAACGGGGAAAATAATAACGTAACCCTCCCCCGAGGCGCATCTCCTAGAAAGACCTGCACCAGGGCTTCAAAGCTAGCCCTGGTGCGGAACGTGCACCCAGCGACCGCCTCCCCACACTCATCTCACACAGAAACGAAAACAACGGGACCGCCAGGGCCATCGCAACCACTCGTGTGACGGCGGCTCCAAGACGTCTAGGAAGCCGTGCGACGCTTGCTTGGCAAGAGCTGGCAAGCAGCAGCAGCAGCAACAACAACAGCAGCGGCGGCAGCAGCAGCATGCGAGCAGCGGGGGGCGTGCGTGGCATGCGTGCACACACATACACACGTTACCTGCACATGTTGTGCGTGTCGGAGAAGGTGACGCGCGGCCCGCCGGCGCCCAGGCCGCGCACGCGCAGCGACGCCGACCGCGAGGGGCCGGAGCGCGGGGAGCTCTCGAACGACGCCGAGTTGCCGTTGGAGTTGACGCTGGCGCCGCCGCCGTCGTCGGGGCTGTGGAGACATACGCATGCACACGCCTCGCTCGCTCGCATACACACACGCACTCCACCGCACACACCCGCTCTCGCTTGCGCACGTCGCACGCGGCGGAAGAGACCAACACCAACAGCCACAACCCACCCTCACCAACTTACATACGTACAGCCTGGCGTAGTTCTTCTGTTAGGTCGTAAGATTACTTGCCCATGCATTAGTCATCAAATAAATTTATTGATCAAAAACTAAACGTGACGTACGGGAGAGAAGTACAATCTGTGCACACATTCTTCCTTTCCAGGATCTACACCTCACTTTTTCGAACTTAGCTGAATGTAAAGGTATGTTGAACAAAGGAAGTAACGAGTGTTTGCAGCAACATTAATAACATGAAATATTTGCTCTCAAATACGCCCTCATTTACTTCGGAAGACGAGCTAGGTATGTTATAGGATGATACTGCTGAAGAAATTCAACTCCCCATGAACACCACATAGAGGGAAAACGCACCAATGGAGCAGCTACGTGGGCCCATTTCAACATCTGCTCGATTCATTTATACACGAAGAAGTCACTTCCAGTGTAAAATATCAATTCCAGTTCAACCCAATGCGTCAAACTAACATTGTATGTCAATTAGCTGAAACACACATTGCTGCTGCAGTGCAACTTATCGACGAATTGTTCAATTCGAAAAAAGTTCAGAATCGCGTGCTTTCTGTTAGTAGAATAGGTAAGTTTTCCTATAAGTATAACCACAAAGAAAATTTATTTTGTTAGGATACAAAGACGATAAATAGTTTTGCACACCTGTCTGACCGGTCATGGCTGGCTAGACAACGGTTTTTGACGATTTACTCCAAGCTTTGCGTTTAAGACAATTATTCTCCACACCATATTTGCATAGAAATCCACAGATATTACATATATGTAACTTTATAACACATTGACTTGGAAGTGAAATTCTCTAATTTCTAAATGTTGCTTTGTTGGTACTTTCATTCATCATTCAACTATTTATGGTTAAATGGGACTGGGGAAGAGACTTAGAAGCTCAAGAAAATGTATGCAGATTGTACATCTCTATATGTCACAAACAGTTTTTATTGTTCTTTGATAAAAATAAATAAAAACGAATTTGACCTGCTATGAATTCAGTTTTCTTTTATTACTACTACATTTGATTTAATGTTATCTAATGTTTTGGTGTAGGCCTTATCATGCACACACCATTTTGTTCTATGTTCCTCATAAAATTGTCTTTGTGTTCATTCAGTGCATCACAAATGCTGTAATTCAATATTTGTTTAAAAATTCAAATAGCTGTAATTGTAATTATATTATTTGAGCTTGTTTCAAGAAATACAATGTATTGCAATTGGAAAAGAGTAAAGGAAAGATTATCAAAACAATACTGGTATATTTTTTCCCTGTAAATAAGATCTGAACAATTTTGCCTAGCAACAGATAATACTTTATTATTTTAGAGTCATATTATAAAAATACACTAGGTTGCATTTTGATTGCTTGTATTTCACGTTTGAAGAATATAAAATTGACATGAGTTCTCTTCAAAACACACACACACACGCCAGCACATTAAGCCATCACGCACATTCACGCATCCTTTCAAAATAGGTAAAACTTCTGTTGTTAAACACAAATAACCAATGCAATTCTGTATTATGTCCATTCAATTCACAAGCAAAGATCATATGCTCACCTAGTATAAGCATGCATGCATGGAGACCACGGGCGGATCCGGAGACGAATTTTGGGAGGAGAAATTAAAAATGTTTTTTGTCAAATGTCATATTACAGAATTTGTTAAATGTCACCAGCTACAGTCAGCTCATGCTGCGATACAATTTGATTCATTTTAATGATAATCTAAAAATATATTTGTTTGAAAGTCTTGTGACAAGTTAAAATTCATAGTTTCTGAAAATTTTGGGGGAGGAAATTTCTCTCATCCCCACCTCCCCCCTTGGATCCGCGCCTGGTGAAGACATACCTCCCCAGGCATCTCAACCCATCCATCTCTCCAGGCACCCATTCACACTCAATTACACAATTAAACATTTCTTTTCTTTGCTGACTATTGCACAAAATGATTACACAAGTCGGATGATTTCCTGATCTGGAGAAACATTAACAAGCATTACAATGCCTACCTTTACTACCATTTGATTCTACTCTAAATGAAACTACTAACCAGTTTTTCAGATGACACAATAATCACACACTTTTAGTATGCCAAAACTAATTGAATTACTCTACCTAATAATAGTTATGACTCATACAAAAAAAGACTTCAAATTCCAAGTTTTGGCACTAACACAAGAATCAACATTTTTACTGGAAATAGAGAAGAAAAAACATGAATTTTACTCTAGCATATATCTACGTATTATATTTTAATTGCCTTTAACTGTATTTAAGTTGGGAATTGATAATCAAAAAAATAACAGAGATAACTACTCATGAACAAATGCAAATTTAAAAACAATAATCTATTGTATAAGACATAATCTAAAATTTTGAAAGGTTATTATCTATTCTTTCAATAAATACAAAAGATTAGAAATAAATATTTCTTAATAAAATAATTCAAAGTAAAAGCATACATTTTCTCAACTGCTAAAACAAGTAAGAGAATGAAAGTAAATTCTACTAAATACTTTAAATGACCTTTTCTCATTTTTTAAAGGACACTTTTGGTGGTAATTTATAAAAAACTGAGAATTTCAATATCATTTTTTTTCAGATATCCTAGAATGAAACCTCTCTCTTCTACCGAAACATACACTCATATTTTCTAAGGAAAGAGAATACAAACATGAATATAAGTTAACACACCAGAATAAGTCAGTCCACTGTCTCATTCCTGATAATCAGAGTACAAAGTGGAAAATGCCACGTGTGACCAGCAGGCAGTTGTGCATTCTGTGTCAACCGAAAAGCTGCTTGTAACTGACATCTAACTTTCATTTTCCTGTGCCGACAGCCAGTAATCTTGTGCAAAACTTAAGTGCTTTGTTATGTGGAACATGAACATGTAACTCATGATGCCGTCTTGTGCACTATGAAGTGATCATACAATTTGACATGACATTTTCCATTTTGTACTCCTGCTAAAGTGACAGCTTAGCCTACCAAGCAGAATGTATTGAAAATTGCAGTTACATGCGTCTAATTCTACAATATCAGAAATATGCAGCATCAATGAAGAGAAACATAATGGAAAAGGAGAACAAGGATGGAAGAGGCATAACAAGAAATTGTACAACTTTTCTGATCTATAAACAGATTATTGATGTCTTTTTTATAATTATAAAGTATATTTCTACAAAGAAGCTTTTGAAAGTTTTCTTGTGTGTGTTTTAAAAATGTAATAAATGAAATATACACAAATAACACGGGAAGAGCATAGCATAATGTTCAAAAATAGTTTGAATGCTACATAGAAAAATGAGTAACTTCAAAAATTTAGTTTCAACAAAAGACCAGAGTGTTAACTTCATTTACATTTCAATAATCTGTGTGAGCTTAAAAATGTAAAGCAAATGTGGTGAAAATAGGAAATCAGGAAGCTTGCTTTCAAGACAACTAGGACAGTCTGTCATGGATCACAGAAAGGATCTCTAGAAACTGGGTGATGCTTAGGTCATTAGAATCTAAACTTACCTTTCCATCTCTAAATGATGTTCTGGTGTAGGTGATGGAACAATAAAAGAGCGGGAACGATATGTGCTGGCCTTGGATCCAAGACCAAATTTGCCTTTTATAGAAGAAGCTTTCACACTCTGTCGCCTTAGTTTCTGAATCATATCCCTAGGAAAGAAAAAGGGTAAAATGAAACTTGGAGCCTAAATATGATTTCAATACAAAACAATTCGACAAAACTGAATTAAGCTGTGACTGACATAAATTGTAGTGTATGTGTTTTAGTTCTGTACATCAAGCCCATTTAAATATCTGAACATCTATCAACCTTTCAATGTCAAGCTCACTTGACAATATCTGAATGAATACAGCCAATTAAGGAAAATGACAATCACATTTCTTCCATTTTAAATACAAAATAACCAAAATAAAATTGTTATATAAAATCATTGCACAAAATTTCTAAATAGAAATTCAATAAAATGGCTCATCTAAATTAAAATCCAAATTTTAAGAGAAGTCTTGCTATTGCTGTAGAAATATCTCTCCCATTTTGTACACATTACTAAAGCAAGTGGTATAATGAACAATTTTGTCATTCATATCTTTCGGTCCTGTACTGTTGGAACCATAATTCCATCGGATAAAATAATTAAATTTTTGAACATTTCATGCTGAATATTCTTTTCTATTCATTTGATAAAAAAAAATAAAAAAACTCTCTGATTAATAGACTTTTAATGAGTTAGCACATTTGTACACAATATTTAATTAGGTTTAGAATTGTTTCTACGTAATTTGCTACAGAAATTCAAATATTAACACTAACCTGCGGAAATCTTTGAATACCATAGCTTCCAATTCTTGCAGTCGTCTCATTTCTTGCTCAATAGTGCCATGAGAGGCACCTAATGAACGTAAATCATTAATGATCTTGGCTTGTTCATTCATTTCCTTTTCAATGAGCTTGGATCTCTTCTTGGAGTCAAGAGAAGGATCAAAAACAAATGCAGGAAGACTATCAGTGAAATTCCGAGAACGACGAAGGCTGATACTCTCCTGGATAGAAATATTCCTTGAGGTAGAACATGAATTTACAATAACAAAATAACTAAATAAATGCTTCAGAATAAATTACTGAAAATTGACAGGTCAATACTATTATGTCCAATAGCATACTTCTGATCTTTTAGATATAATTACAATGCATACTGTACAATGCATTAAAGTCTGAATTCCCAAATATTAAAAATAGAGAAAATGTGGGTACAGTGAGAACAGTGAAGCATTTATCAGAAAATGGAAAATTTAGGTTTGCTGGTTGGTATCTAATGTAGAACTTTTAGATATTTGTGCATACCCTTTACTTCCTAAGTTGCTGTTTCAAAACTGCAGCTGAATTTCTGTCAAAAAATATTTCTTTGTTCAGAGATAAGAAAAGTAAATTTTTACTTCATTTTTACAGCTGTTCTTTCAGTAAGACATGAGGGATTGGCCAAATTTAATTATGTAACCTAAAAGTTCATAATTTCGTGAAGATGATGATGATTTGGATTTGAAGTCAATATATGAATGCAGCAAGTCAGTTTGAAATTATACCTGTAATTGGGAACTGTGAGACAAGAATAATGCAGAAGCATTGAGACATATCTCACTGTTATCCATTAATATATTTTTCATTTGAATTACTTGTAATTTGTTTCCTAAATCAGGTTTCCGGTATTTATAAATTACAAAATGTATTTTTAAAATATATAATGCCTGATTGCTTAATCTAAAACTTGCAAAGACAGGCATATTTCCCTTTGACTGATAGACCTTTTAATGAAAGTCTGAGCTCACAGGTTTCACCTAATGAAGTTCTTCCCTGTGAAACTGATCAAAGGCAATCACTCCAAGCTTAAAGTAGATCAATATGTAGACCTACAGATACCAACCCGTCAGATTCATTCACAAAATCTACAGATATGTCTCAAGATCTCCAGAAGAAACAATGTAAGGTTTCCCAAAGGCAAAAATAAGGAAAACTAGCAATCACTGAAGGCATAGAGGAAGAACAATGATTATGACACACACACCAGAAAAAAATGAACTTCAAGCTAAATGAAAACCTAAGGACATGAAATGATCTATAAAAAACAACAACAAAACAAAACAAAACAAAACAAAATAATAATAATAATAATAATAATAATAACTGCATAAAATAATAATAATAATAATAATAATAATAATAATAATAATAATAATAATAATAATAAGGACTGCATAAAAATTATTTTGCCTAACCCCACAACACATGGGAAGAAAGACAACAATTTGCTATTTCATTTCCTATAGATTTGCTTCTTATGATGTTCGATAGGATTTATTGTACCCACTATCACAGGCTCAAGGATACTGTGAGACAATTTCATTTTCTATTTTTTATACATTGGCAGTTGATTGTATGGTAAATCAGTTTATATTGTCAGGCACTTATGTATGCCATGTATTACATACAAAAATTTTGAAGAGATATATTTTTTTCAGTGTCTAGTTTGTTATCCAGTTTTTGTGCCTCATTGTTCTCACTTTTCCACTAATTGCTTTTACGTAAAATGCTTTTATATTTGAAAATCTTTAAACAATACAGAATATTTTTTATAGCATCAAGAATATTTCAAGGATTTTCATTTTAGTTTTGCTTTTCTTTTTAGTGGATGTTGGACGTTGGTAGGTAATTGATATAATTTACATTATTTTACTGATCTCTGGTTAGTTTCATTCCTTTCTTCTATTAATTCAGACATTTCTGCTCAAGCATTATGAATAAATATTATACAAGTTTAAGTACAATAGATTCAATATTACATATATAAATATTATTAAGATATAAAAAGAATTGGTTGTAATTAATATTTGTGGCAAAAGAAGATCATCACAATTAAGTTTGATATTCAATGTCATACTTTAACCTTACTTTCCTATGAATGACAAATAAAAACAAGATGTGAAAAATGTATGAGTCAATTTAAAATTATAATTTCAACATAAAACTTGATTTACATTATGGCTAGTGTTCTAATGTTTTTTACAAAGCTTACCAAAGAGGCAGCATTGCCATCTGGCTGGTCAGCATCATCACTGTCGTAGTCTGTACGTACTTGCTCTTCATCCTCCTGACTACCAGTGAGAGTAGTAAGTGTGTGGCCCAGAGCAGATAACTGCTTGCCAACATTTACATCCAGATGAATGTCAACTCCCTCCATTTGCCATTGTACATTTAACAACCATTTTGCATTATCTACAAACAAACAAAAAAATCCATGGAATTCTTAGTTTCAATTGGTATATTTCAATAACTATGTACTATAATTTGTTTTATATTTTAAGTGAAAAATTATAATACAGTTTTATCACTTCACTGTGGATGTCTACCTCACCTGTTCCCTGTTTCTGGGCAATAGTACGGCTACAAACTTCATACGTGCCCTCTGACACAACACACAGATTCATGATAGTGCTGTCACTCATATCTGGTTTCCAATCATCCAAACTGGTTTCAAAATCATCAGCAAATCGCAAGCATAATCCAACAAACCGTCCCTTGCTGACAAGAGAACCAGAGCTACAAGCTGATATGCTGGTTGATTCAAGAGTCACAACCACAGCACCTCGACTCTCTGCTTCATACAGTTGGCGACTGCGACCCCATGAGGCCTAACACAGAAATAGACATTACGTCTATCACCCACATTATTTACTTTTTCACTTACCAATTTATTTTAAATGAGAAGCATAAGTCACTTATGGAAGGCAAATCAACACAAGACATAAGCACATAAAGTTGAAAAATTTGTAAAGGTTTATGCAAAACTGTTAAAGGCATTTAACAGCTGGGCCCATTGAAAATTGGATTATTCATTCAAATATAAAGCAGTAGCAGCTTGTGCTTAAGTTGCACAACGCCCAAATAATCGAAAAAATTGCTTATGTTAGGTTGATCGATCGATTAATTAATTAGTTTGATTCCAGACATGTCAACTGATAAGGTCATTTGACCTGTAAATATAGTTCATGACTTTTTTTCGTGGGATGTGGCGGTGATCTCCCCTCGCTGGATGACAAGATCTGGAGCCGACCTAAACTTCGACTATTTCCCCAACCAGGAATCTCCCACCAGAAGGACATCACCCTAGCCAGGGCAACCTCTAAGCACCCGACTAGTCTCCCAAATTGTGGGGTAGTGTAGTGCAAGTGTGTGTAAGTAAGGGGTGAAGATAGGATAAGGAAGAGGAAGGAAAGATAGCGCATAGTCCCAGGCCCATTTGTTAGGGTACTGCTCCGGCATTCACCTTGGTGTTGATCGGAGAAACCACGGAAAACTACCGATCAGTGAAGCCGGCCACTACAATTGTCCTCCAGACAATGGCTGGATACGACCTAGCCGTACAGCTCATGTCGAAAATCCTGCCACCATGGGAAACTCGAATCCAGGGACCTCCAGGTCAGAGGCACTGTAGTGACATTAGTTGATACTCTGAGCCACCCAAGCGGCAATAAAATGTTAGAAATATATATTTTCCATTTAATGACACTTAATATTCAAGATATTGCAGCAATATATACGAAATGTGCCACATCTCTCTCTTGAGCACTTTTACTGTGTTTATTCATTGGCGCATTCCTATGCTCGAACATTGGGCCCTCATTGCTTTTACTCTGCAACATTCGTATGGTCGAACTATTTGTAAGATACACCTCAGTTCAGTGGCCCCGCAGTACTAAGAGATACGTGTGTAGGGAGGGCAAGCAGAGATTGGCGAATCAGAAGGGAATACCAATTTTCTGTCTTCTTGCTGCAACTGAATTTTATGAATTTTGCTTGTAATTGTAAGTACACAATTCAGTCCATTCTTGACGTACTGAATGCATTATTTATGATATTTGGGGATTTTCTTTTCATTTGAGGTTAGATTTGTTCAACATGTTCACTTGATGAGTCATTTGTGAGAAATTGGCCTTTTTGGAAGGTCTCTTTCCGTTCCTCTTCTGCAAATGGTGTGTGCAATATACGAACGTCGCGAATATGGGAGTGTGAAAATTATCTCGGTAGTTATTGCGCAAGTGTTCTTGTTGTTGTTGCTGCTACTGCCAATAAATCAATTTCCCCAAGGAAGTAAGAACATTTACCAATTTCAGAGAGAATACAATCCTGAACTACTATCCTAGAAAACAGCACATACTTTCTAACCTTTAGTAATAGTAATGTAATACTTTTTATACTAGTAATGTAATTCATTTTTTTTAATAAATTATAAAAATGAATGAATGTTTAATCATTTGGAATTTTAGCTATTCCTTTTTCTTTACAAGAAGCCCCTGGGACATTTTAAAACAAAAATATAGCTCCAACGTTTTTTATTACATTATTCGATAGTATGAAGGACATTTATGCGAATGGTGAAGGTTTCATTTTAGATAAAAACCCTGAGTTTTCGAAAGTTGCAAAAATTCAAAACTTTTCTACATTCTAATTTCTAGTCAACAAAAATGAAAATCTGAATCTGCTGAAAATCTAGGTAATATCAAAGATAAGATTTTCTACAAGTGAGGGTCTGTTCATGGCTCCCAGTACACCGAGGGAAGTGTAAGAACTCATTACGAAACTTGTAGCTCGATTTTTATGAAGCGCGTCACGCGCACGAAGTTCCTGACTTGCGCGTTTCCGTCCCGATCCACCAAAAAGCGCGTGAACGTCTACCTTGGGGATAATGGATTGTTATTTTGCAGTAGCAGATAGAGATTTTGCAATTTTTATACAAACTTCTGAACAATAATTATTGTAATATATTGTAACCATATGAACAAAAATTTTCAATTATAAAATTATATCAAACATAGGTCTTAACACAAAGAAAAGAAATTACCTTTAAAACAACTAATTTTTCAAACAAATTATCAGACAATAAACCCCAAGTTGGCGAATATATAAAACCTGCAAAGGAAAACAGTCATTCACATGTCGTGGATGAACAGGTGAATTATTTAAAATACGTATTTCATATACAAGTATTTAAATACTGCCCCCAACATCTCGTACATTTGGTGCAAAAACTAAATATTTTGAAGCAAATACGAAGCTTGCCTTTTATGTTTCGGGATTTGGCAATCTTGGTGTTGCAATCTGGCATGAAAGCTCTATCGTAAAGTTGATTGTTTTGAGGTTATACGTCTCAGCAACGTTTTGACATACGAGCGCTATTGTTAGTGCGTTCGTCTACAGTAAAAAATGGATCAAATCGAACATCTTTCCGGTGCATTATTTTTTACAACTTTCGACGTGGATTAACTCAGGCAACGTGGCATGGATGAACGTATATTCATTTTTAGGCGAGTGAAGCTACACAAGGACAGTGTTTATCGATGGTATGGTGAATTCAATCGTGGTCGTAGTTTCTCAAACGAATTTCGCGAAGGTCGTCAAATCAGTTTGTTCCGAAACCATTGATGCTGTGGTGAACTGATATTGCCAGATCGTCATGTGACCTATGTGGATTTGAGACAACTTAAGCATATTGCATGAACATTCGACTGTCAAAAAATTTTGTTCGCGTTGGTCACAACACTTTGTCAATCGCTCAAAAAAAGGCTCGGTTGGGGGTCCCCGAATTTTGGTTTCCGAAAATAAATGCTCAAATAGTACGATGCGTGCTGTCGAAACAGTCTATGAATGATCGTGGATTTTACGCGTATGACGCCCAAAAAGTAAGCAGCAGTCGACTGTTGGGTGTTTCAAGATGAGCAAAATCCAAAAGTTGTTCGCGCACGAAGCACTTCCAAACAGATGGTCGCCTGTTTTTTTCGGAAAAACTCGACATGTCGCAACAGTACCACTAGAACAACGCAGAACAGTCAATTCTGAGTGGTACACTACGATTTGTTTGCCAGCTGTCTTCCAAGAAATCCGGAAAACCAACCGCCTAAGACGGATCACTCTTCACCACGACAATGCGAGCTCTCACACATCGGCCCAAACAATTGCATTTTTGAGCACCCAAAACATCGATTTGATGAGTCATCCGCCGTATAGTCCTGACTTGGCACCAAATGACTTTTTTCCCAAACGTTTTTATTCCCGTACGTAAAAATCAAACTGAGAGGTCAACGTTTTTCGACATCTGAAGAAGCGGTTGCTGCAATCGTATCAACACAAATTTGACAATTATAACTGACTTTCATGCAGGTAAATCATGCCCCAACAATAAGACGCAAATCACAAAAATGAGCTCCCGAGTCATTGTAGCATTCCAATCTGATATTCCCTGAAAGCTAGTAGTATTTCAAATAGGTTTTAAATAATTTCTAAAAGAATGTGTAAAAGTACAACAAAAGTCGAATGAAAGAAACGAACAAAGATATATGAAATATACAAATGCATTGAAATACAAATATACATCAACACATTGAGAAAACAAATTGTAGAATTAAGTAAAGTAAAAGTGCGAGAAAGCAAAAATGGAATTAATATTGGAGTTTTCATTAGTAAATTATAATTAAAATTAATTATTTTTATTCAATTTTTCTCATAGCCTGTAGTTGGTGTGAAACTTGTACATATTTCATTAATTTCAACCAGAAATAACGCAAAAACTAATTTTCTTTCAAAAAATTGTACATGACATTTTTGAACAGGTTATTTTGTACAACAAACTTTGTCTGAAGCAAAAATCTCTATCTTCAATTATTTTCAATCGAGCAATACTCAAAAACGAGAGTAGTGCTATATTTCTTTCCATTTCTTATTACATTTGTGGAGAACATTGAAAGAAAAAATTTGGAGCTGATTTTGAAAAAATATTTTGTGGTAAATTTCAATTGCAAAATATGCAAAAACTTCTCGTTTTTTTCTAAAAATTGGACATGACCTTTTTTGAAAATCTAATTTTGTACGCAACATCATCTTTTCATTTTCAAACAAAACATCTATCTTCAATTTTGTAGTTTTAAAATGTTATTTGAAATTTTCTAAAAACCGAGCAATACCCGAAAATGGAATAACACCATTTTTACTGTCACTTATTACATAAGTAAAGAAAATTTTAAAAAAAAGTTGGAGCGGTTTTTGAAATTATTTTTTTGTAACTTTCAATCGCAAAATATGCAAAAACTACTCGTTTTTTTATTGTACATGACCTTTTTAGAAGAGCTAAGTGTGTACAACATACTTTGTCTGACACAAAAATCTCTATCTCCAATTTCAGTTTTATATTATTTTTTCCATTTTCCTGCATCTTTCTCTTAAATTTTTTTGAACTATTCAACAACAAAATTTAATCAAAAAATTTGGAGCCATTTTTTTGAAAATGCCCTTCGAGCTTAATGTGAAGTGCCGTCCAAAATTAAAATTTCGGTTTCAAATTTCAAGTTTCCACGACATCAGCTAGAACGACTGGGGAATATAAATTTTGGAGAAAATCGGCTGAACGGTTTATGCACTAGCGTTGTGCACAGACGGACGAGCGGACGCTTTGACGTCAATCTTTTTTCCGATAGCAAGGACCCACAAAACATGGATGCTGGTTTGTGGGATTTATCCACTTTTTCGTTATCATGGCTCGGCAATAAGAGTTTTTGTGTCAAAAATTTGCCGTTTTTGGGCATCATTGATGAATGAATCAAGCCCTACAACATAAATAACCGAAGTCCAGACGCGGTGA